AGCTGAAATCACATTCTGCATAACTGAAGATTCCGTCAGCTAATAAACTCTTCCAACAGTGATTCTAACTTCCGACATTCTATCGGTACACTGAAGATCCTTGTTTCTCTGCCTGATAAGATTATCCAATATCTCTGAATAATATTGTAAACAATAGTGTGTTCCCTAATCACATAAATGTTTTATCTGATTTCCGACTTGAATTCTGTTCTGATACATTACCTGAATTTTGTCCTGATTTCTGATCTGGATTCTGTTCTGATATCTGATCTGAATTATGTTTTGATTTTTGATATCTTCATTTACTGAAGAGAAATGTTTTATATGGGGGTTTATTGTTGAAGGAAGTATATCTGCAGGTTTCTCGCTGTGTGCTCAGGGCCTTAATGGTTGTATGGGGTGTATGGTTCTGGGGAACCTACACAAACAGATTGTGAAAGGATGGGGGTAGTGTTCATGTTTTAAAAATATATATATTTTTTAAAATATCTTTATCTTTTTACTAGTTTTATGGGAACACACTAGATAACCTATTATGATCTCCTAAACCTAGACATCCAAAATATTTCCATATGAATTGAAAACTCACTATCTGTTACTACCTAAAATATCCGTAGGATCTCCTCTCAGCATAAAATATGTAGATGTCTGAACCAATAAGGAAATATATGTTTATCTGTATCTGCACGTTCTTTAGCATCATCTAGTAGTTATGTATTACAGAGCTTTCCAAAGCTCACTCTATTACTCACCATTACAGGGTAAAAGAATTGTACCAGTACAGTTATCGACTTCAGTAATGAGTTCTTCCGGTGTTGTTTGCAGAGTATGATGCATGTGATTAGGGGGCATGTAATTTTATTTTGTTTTATATATACGAGTCGAAAAATCTATTTTATTTCTGAATACTATAAATTATTTTATGAGTTTACATGTTATGATAAAAAGTTTTAAATTTTTGCTATTTTTACAGTGGGTCGCTCCGGTGGCCCTAATGTGACAACCCAGATCGGATCGCATCGGTCTGAGGGGGTTACAAATCCTCAGTCATTGAGGTTACTTAGTTCATTTAGCAGTCAAGTCTATCCCGGTTACTTCAGAGTTTTCCAGAGTAATTCAGACGTTTCTGAATTTTGATACATATTGTACTTCCGTTCAGTTCAATTTGGTATTGTGGTTGATTTATCTAACGAATATCCATTTCTTAGTACCGAATGTGCTCTAGAGTTGAGATGAGTTGAGTACTTCCATAATTATCATCGATCCAAAGGCGAACACGTATTCAAATGATATCTATGCCATTCAGGTACGGATATATCATTAGTGTTGATCGACTCACTTAAGTTGTGTTCCATAACTTTTAAGGGTAGTGTAACACCCATGTTTATTTGGATTCCTTAATTAATCCAAGACATTTACTTAGTCTAGTCCATAAGGGTATTTTGGTCATTTTGGTACTCGATGTTATTCCAGTCATTTCAAAGCTTGAATATCCATTCATTTCTGGGCTTGGTGATATTCTTGGGCCATTTCTACCCTAGGGTAATTTGGTCATTTATAGATCTAGGGTATTTAAATTATTTCCTTCTATCCAATCTTATTATTTAATTCAAACTTATCATCTATTCCAGTCTTTTCAAACAATTCTGACAAAAGAGCACCCTCGATAAATTATTCTTCAGGAATTTACTCATAACTCGGAGATTTATGGATTATCAGGGATTTTCTGTATAAACGTGCGAACTTAACGATGAAACTAGTAATTCATCGATTTAGGAATGACTTTTTGAGTACTTTTCCATTTAGGGTCAATTCGAGCTACTTTTTCCTCTCAAGGGTAATTTCGTAATTTCTTAACCATATAATTTTGGTATTAAAACTCTTAACAAAGATAAATGTAATTTAGAGATCCAAAGGTTAATTGCATTTTTGGATAATCTCTGAACTTGAAATTATTCCTTATCAAATTTCTAATTTATTGTACAAGCCATCATAATTTTATTCAGTTACCGACTTTTTATCGCATTCGGATCTGTGGGAATTAACTAACTACTCAGATAAGACCAAACATTTTCTTATTCATGCATTATCAATATCAACATGTTCCATAAAGCATAAAGAGGTAGTGATGTATTACCTCGATTTTTGTACCATATTGATCGACCATATAAATTCCATTCGAACGCCCTCAATCTTTAATTCAATGTCCAATAATTCCTCAGATACATATCAACATAAATTTCATAAAAACGGAGCTTAATTCTGAAAAATGGATCGAATAGGGTGATAAATCAATGAAAAACAACTTATCGGGTTTGAATTTGGAAAAGCGGACCTCAAAAACAGACTCAGGACATCAAAAAATGTTAGGATAGGTATACCCAAAAAAAGTCAATGGTCGGACAACGACGGTCAACGGTCCGGTCAATAGCGGTCAACGCAGTCAATGACTCGATGGCTCAGCTCGGTTAGATGGCTTGGCTCGGCTCAGTGGCTCAGCTTGGCTCAGACCGGTCCAACCAGTCAACACACTCCCCAAGCTACCAAACAAAGCCCACTCTCAAAGGGTGGCGCGTGCGGCGTCATACGGTGTCCGAAAAATTCCACAAAAAATTCTAAAATTATTTTAAGGCATTTTGAGACACTTACCAAGCTCGGTTCACAATTTTGAATGGCGGAGACAAGAAGAACACCGGTGGACTCGGAACGATGCAAGGAACACGATGGTGTGGGAGGTGTCGAAAACGGGTGGTCGGATCGACCTGAATCGACGGAAAACCAGAGAAGATTGAGTTAAAACCGACAAACTTCCGATTGAGATTTACGACGAACAACGTTGATTCACGACAAAAGGTTTTAGGGCTTTTGTTCATCGTCGACAACGAACACGATGGTGGTTTCGGATCGACAAACGGTGGTCGGACGGTGGAGAAATCAGAGGTCAAAGGAGGGTTGGTAAGAGAGAGAAAATGGGAAAAACAATCTGGAAAACCAGATTGTTTCGGGGGAGAGAGTTTATAATTCAACACTTAAGAAAAATGGGTAAATTAAGGACTAGGTCCCTGAATTTCCTACACTTCCTAAAATGGTCTACCAACTTTGCAATTTTACAATTTAATCCTCAATTTCTTCCAAAATATCACTTAAATTCAATACTTTATAATTTCTAAAAATTTAGCCCTAAATTGGGGTGTGACACTGATGACTTAACGACTATATTTTTTACTTTTGGAAGGCTCGATCTCGGACCAAAATGTTGGTATCGATACCAATGTGCAGGTGAGCATTAAATGTTCAAAATTAATGAATCTAACGGCTCCAAACGGTTATATTGATGTTAGAAGACATAAAAGATACCAAGATTCAAATAGAGAATAATAAGAAAGTTAATTGTAAGATAAATTCGACATCAAAAGAGATTTTATTACTAAATTGTCGAATTCTTTGTAATACACTTGTGAGCTTCTTGGTTATTCTTGCTTAAGTGTAATTTGGGTATGTGCTTAATTAGTTGCAAACTTATTTGCCCTTGTGAGATTTTCTTTTGTTTGCTAAATTTGTAATTCCTCTTGTAGAGAGAGTGTAAGCAAGGTTTTTAGATATAAACCTTGTGTGTCATTGTAAGGTTACACTTATGCTTAAAGGTTTGCAAATCTAGTGGATTTGAGAAATCCTTAGTGTGGGTAGCTAAGGTAGTGGATATAGACTTGGTTTAGAAGTCGAACCACTCTAAATCGTTATGCAAAGTTTTAATTTTCGATTACATCCACCACAAACCTTTCAAAGGCCAATTCACCCCCTCTGGGTAGTTTCCGGTTGATCGATAAAGCTAACATATATTTAGTGGTATTTTGGGGGGGGGGAACTAGTGTAACCCTTGAAATTTTTTTACACTCAATGTGACCCTTAAATTGAGAAAAAAAAATTTAACCCTTTGACTAACGGAATTGAACGTTGATCGTCACGATATTTATATGACAGTTCACAAAACTTACATGAAAATATACAATATTGATGTGATAGTTCACTGTTATCGTAGTACATGATGGATCATGATGTTGTATATGGGCTTAATTTGTTCTGGCAAAGTTTGAGGGCCTAATTGATTATTTTATAAAGTTTAAGGATTTAATTAATTTTTGTAAAAGTTTGAGGTTTCAAAAATTATTATTAAAAGAATTTGAATCCGTGCAAATTAAGTTAAAAATCTAGATCTTGTGTTTTCCTATTTTTCAAATTTCTAACATAATTTTAATGAAAATACTGGAAACTGTTTTTATGTTTTTACTTAGTTTTGTTTCATTTTATAGAAATCATTTTCTAATTTTACAACCAAACATATTTCTTTCAACGTTTTTATTTTTAAGAAAATAAAAATGAAAATAATATATATTTTATAGAACCAAACGTGCCATTAAATTCACATTCCGATTCCAAAACTTCTTATAAGGGACTTCAGGAATGTGAGTGCACCTTAATATTTCATTCCATTTCCAGACGGTCGGCCAATCAAAATAAGTTATTCATGTAAATTCTTAATGATTATAATGACTTATAATACGATAATGTAGCATTCTTTTTGAATAGTGAAACTTTCGAATTATAGATTTTAAAAGACATTTCTAGTATGCATTATAAAATTTGAAGGATGATTAAAGAAATATCAATCATGAGTCGAGTTTACATAAAACAATAGTCATTAATCTACCATCTAAATGGCGCTTTAAGAAGTTTTCTATGGTTAAAAATGTATTACTTAAATATGTTGATTTAAATTGAGTGAAAAAACCCATATGATTATATAATATAAAGTTAATGGATATTACATAAGATTATGTTTTATTCATCTACGAGATAATATATATTCTAAAAATTCTTAATCATTTGATAATAATATTTAAATATCTTACTATTTCTAATGTTTGAACGTGAGAACCAATGAAGTAGTTTGGTTTGGTTGATGTCCGGCAGTTTCTCATATCAGTTACCCCAGCCCTCCTCCATTTTTCAGTCGTAACTAGCCATGGCGATCACGTACCCTATTTTTCTTTTCTTAATTTTCTCTTCTCTAGTCCCCATCCTTTCTCTTTACGAAGATCAAGTAGGCCTCACCGATTGGTACTCATTATTTACTCTCTTTTTTCATTACAAATATCTTATCTTCTTTGTTTTTGTTATCATTCTAATAAATTGTTTAATGTCAGGCATCAGCAGTACATTGGGAAAGTGAAGCAAGCAGTGTTCCACACTCATAAAACTGGTCGAAAACGAGTCGTAGTATCCACTGAACTCAACGTCATAGCCACGCTTGATCTTCGCCGTGGCGAGATTTGTTAAGTCCAATCTTATTCAAGTTTATTGTACTTTTGAAGAAGGGAAAAATCGTCTTCGGTTTTTGTTTCATTTACTTCTAAATTCATATTGGATTTCTGGCTGGTTGTTTATGTAGTTTGGAGACATGTGCTTGGGTCTAATGATGCTGTTGATGGTATGGATATTGCTCTCGGGAAATGTAAGTATGCCTATCTCCACTTTTGCTCTGAGAAAATTCTTTTTCAAATGGGTATCTCCTGTGCTTTCAGTAATGGAAGTTTATGAGTTCTTGCTTCGATAGCTGATTAAGTTTTGAATAAATTTCATTAATTCAGATGTCATTACTCTTTCATCGGAAGGAAGAGTTTTAAGAGCATGGAACCTTCCTGATGGACAGATGGTGTGGGAATCTTCACTTCATGGTCCAAAGCACTCAAAATCATTGTTATTAATGGTTAGAATCAGAACTTTCATTTTCCGGAATCTTTCCAATTAACAATGTGTTGGCTTCTATTTTCTTGACACAGTCTGTTTTCTGTGGATCATGGGACCTTCCAATGCTATATTCTGTTGTACAATTAAGTTTATTCTCGTAGATTTTTCATTCTAAAAAGAATTTTAGTTGTCTGGTAGCACATACAAAAGAACTAGGCTAGTTTATGTAAAATTGTGTACTTTCTTGAACATTAAGGTATTGTTGAAGTCTAAGTTTTATCTTCCAGAAAACTTCAGGTTCTCGATTTTGACAGCGCTTAAAAGGTTTATTTTTTGAATTAGATATAAATTATTTACTCCATTCTCTGATTCACCATATTGATATTTTGCAGACAAATTTGATAATTGAAAGGAATAATGTAGTAGTCATTTTCAGCAATGGCCGCCTCCATGCTGTTTCTTGCGTAGATGGTGAGGTTCTTTGGAACAAGGATTTTGAAGCAGAGAGGTTAGTCCAAATCAGAAGTTTTAAATTTCAACAGCATCCCCTTCCACTCACCCCACTTTGAAAATAACATGTCATTGATGTACTATATTGCCATGATACTTTCAGCCTCGAGGTTCAGCAGGTAATTCAGCCTGCTGGCAGTAATTTCGTATACATAGTAGGATTTGCTGCATCGTCCCAGTTTGAGATGTATCAAATCAATGCCAGGAATGGGGAGTTGCTGAAGCATGAAAATGCAGCCTTCTCTGGTGGGTTTTCGGGACAAGTTTCACTAGTTTCTAGTGAGACACTTGTGGCTCTAGATTCCACTGGGTTAATTTTGCTAGTAATAAGTTTTCATGAGGGAAAAATTAGTATTCAACATACACCTATTTCGAATCTTGTTGAGGATGCTCCAGGACCTGCAGTCATAATACCTTCATCAACCATGGGGCTATTTGCAATTAGAATGAATGCGGTTACTATATTTATTAGAGTGAGAGGTAAAGGCATGTTGGAAGTGGCTGAAAAAGTCAATCGTGAAACAACCATTGGCAATGCTCTCTCAATATCTGAGGGCCAACAAGTATTTGCACTGGTTCAACATGCAGGCAGAGATATTCGTCTCACAGTCAAGCTTGCGCATGATTGGGATGATGATTTACTTAAAGAAAGCATTAAAATGGACCAGCAACGGGGGCTCGTCCACAAGGTTTTTTTAAATAATTATGTCCGAACAGATAGGTCTCATGGATTTCGGGCATTGATTGTGATGGAAGATCATTCATTGCTTTTACTACAACAAGGCACAATTGTCTGGAGCAGGGAAGATGGTCTGGCTTCAATAATTGATGTAACTACTTCAGAACTCCCAGTGGAAAGGGCTGGTGTATCGGTTGCCAAATTTGAGCTCAACCTGTTTGAATGGCTTAAGGTATGGAACAAGAATCCTTTAAGTTGATTTCAAGAATATGTTTTCATTGAAAAGCACACTTGAACTGAAGGAAGCTCTAGACTAGAAAGTATGCAACTCCTTTCATTGCTTTTAACTAGTTAACAGATACCCGTTATTAGTTTTGTTTCTGACACATGTTGAAGTATCATATCTATGATGCCTTTCATGTGATTCTGAAACTATAAAGATAGTGGATAAACGTGCCGGAAGCTACTAATTTGAATACTAATTTGTTATGTTGGTTTTATAAAGGACTTCCAACTGTTAAAGCATCCTATATTCATTATTTGAAAGCTTCCTTGAAGGTGCATTTTAGTTAATTACATCCGCTCTGACAATGTAGTTTTGACAAGGTGCTGTTTTTCTTAAGGGACACATGCTAAAACTGAAGGGTACACTGATGCTTGCTAGTCCTGAGGATATAGCGGCAATACAATATATGAGGTTACAAAGTTCAGAAAAGAGCAAAATGACCCGAGACCACAATGGCTTCCGGAAATTGATCATAGTATTAACAAGGGCAGGGAAGCTTTTTGCCTTGCACACCGGAGATGGACGCATTGTCTGGTCTCGCTTGCTACAGTCTCTATGCAAGTCAGAAGCCTGTCAACACCCAATAGGACTTTACTTGTGTCCGTGGCAGGTTCCCCATCATCATGCTTTGAATGAAAATCCATTTGTGCTTGTAGTTGGCAGGTGCTTTCAAAGTCCAGATGCACTAGGTGTACTTTCTTTTGTTGATTCATATACGGGAAAGGAGCTTAGTTCGTCAAATCTTGATCACTCAATTGCACGAGTTATTCCACTGCCATTTACTGATTCAACAGAGCAGCGACTCCATCTGCTAATCGATGCTGATAAGAAAGCACATTTTTACCCCAAAACTCCTGAGGCTATTGGTATTGTCCGACGGGAGTTTTCAAACATATACTGGTACTCAGTTGAGGATGATAATGGCATCATCAAGGGGTATGCTTTGAAGAGCAAGTGCAATAGCAATGTGGCTGATAAGTTCTGCTTTGACGCTAGTGAATTGTGGTCTATTGTGTTGCCCTCGGAATCAGAAAAGATCATTGCAACTGTCACTAGAAAATTGAACGAGGTAAACGGTGTCTAATTGTTTATGATTTTATTGTGCTTTAGTATCATGTGGTTGAAGGTGTTAAGAGATGGCTTACTACCGCTTGTGCATGTTCTGTATTATTTGAATGTCTATTGGTGTGGTGTTGTGAATGCTTCCTGCACCTATAACCAAATTGAATGCTCGCAGGCGGTTCATACTCAAGCTAAGCTTATAGCAGCAGACCAGGATGTCATGTATAAATATATATCAAGAAATCTGCTTTTTGTGGCAACTGTTGCACCCAAGGCCAGTTGCGAAATTGGATCCATTACACCAGAGGAATCATGGTTGGTTATATACCTTATCGACACTGTAACGGGCCGTGTATTGCACCGTATGACTCATCACGGTTCACAGGGCCCTGTTGAAGCTGTAAGTTCTCATTTATGGTGTCACAAGCAGCTATTGGGAGGGATGTCATTGATGATGTTCTTTTGATTCTTGTAGGTTTTTAGTGAGAACTGGGTTGTCTACCACTACTTCAATCTAAGAGCACACAGATATGAGATGTCTGTCATTGAAATTTATGACCAGTCTCGGGCTGTAAGCAGACGAACTTGAATCACTTATCTTGAACTTGCATGTACCTTCAGTTCGGTTAAATTTATCATTTCCAACATAAAACTATCCACAGGACAACAAAGATGTTTGGAAGCTTGTTGTTGGAAAGCACAACCTTACTTCACCAATTTCTTCGTATTCTCGATCAGAGGTCGTAACGAAATCACAATCCTACTTCTTCACCCATTCTTTGAAAGCTATAGATGTGACATCAACAGCAAAGGGTATAACTTCAAAGCAGCTTCTCATCGGCACCATTGGTGATCAGGTTTTTCAAAATTTTCAGAATATTTCGTTTTATAGAGTTAATAGTTGTGCTGTTCTCTATAAATGGTAGGGAATGAATCAACCATATTTTTACAGGTTTTGGCACTGGATAAACGATTCCTGGATCCTCGTCGATCAGCTAACCCTACACAAGTGGAGAGAGAAGAAGGAATAATACCACTAACAGATTCATTGCCAATCATACCTCAGGTCAGTTGCCCAGTTGTGTGTGTGTGGATGTAGTTGGCAATGACACTGTTTTATTGATATGCCTCTGTACTAAGCATGCAACCTGACATTGTTAACCATAACACAACAATCACAAATATGACGCAAGCATAGAACAAATGGACGAATTTCTCAAAAAAAATTATATAAATATAAAACATGTTAAAGACTTTTATGGAGCAGAAAAATACATGAATACAGTACGGATCACAACTGAGCATGTCTCTCTGTTTGGTGACTTGTTTACAGTCCTATATTACACACAACCTTAGAGTGGAAGGTCTTCAAGGTATAATAACTGTGCCGGCGAAACTAGAATCAACAACCCTTGTGTTTGCATATGGATTGGACCTGTTTTTCACTCATTTTGCACCTACAAGGACCTATGATTCACTCACTGAAGAGTTCAGTTATGCTTTGCTTCTCATTACAATCGTGGCGCTCGTAGCCGCAATCTTTGTTACCTGGGTTTTGTCTCGGAGGAAAGAACTACAGGACAGATGGAGATAAAAAGAAGTTTCTGCTCATTTCATTCCCCCCCCCCCCCCGGATTTACAGATGTTTTATGATCTGAATTTTCCTTCAAATTTTGTAGCATGCTATTCCTTCATGTAAATCTGGAATAAGAAATTTATGGTCATCCTTTCACGATTTTAGTAACTTTATTATATATTTACTGGTATTAATTACTTGTAACAACATTCATTATATCTATAATCAAGACCAACAACTTAAAAGGAACAAATTATTTGTCAGAATATTGAGACCCGTTTAATTCAATAGCCAAAATTCCAAGTTTCAGAAAATAAAAACCTTTACAATTAAAAAGAAAACTACAGATACATATATACACAGACAAACATTATATCACAATAACATTAATATTTCATGCGAATCACAAAAGACAACAAAAAAGAACCATCTAGGAAGTGTTTCTGGAACCGTTTCCTAATGGACCGGCCGTACATTTGCTGATCAACATATTGTTGTTGACCCGCGGCCGCCATAAGGCGTCCACCATACATTTGTTGAGGATAATAGATTGGTGCCATCATGTGTGGGATCATGCCCATATTATGCTGTTGGGGATGAAAACCATCAGACTGGTTTCGCAGAACGGCCTCTCGTGCTGACAAATGTGAAACCCACCACTTGACCACTTTCCATGTTTTGAGGTCCAATGGGGGTGTTACAACAACATGACTGGGACACCGAGGAACGGCTCATCTACATGTGCTTCCCATAGTGGTGGTGGAAGTGAGCTGATACTCAGGGGCACCTTTTCGACATGCAAAAATTATTGTCATAAATTCAGTAGTACAATAATATAAAATTTGTTTACGAGTAATTTCCAACCCTTGATGGCCATAACATAAGCAAAACCATAGTGATTGGCATGAAGCCTTGCAATTTTGCAATCAGAATAAACTACATTAAACCAGTAATAGAATCATGAATCATGTTCAGTAGAATATCAACCCAATCTTCATTTTACTGCAATTTCAGTCCATTTTACTGCAATTTCAGTCCAATTCATGCGTTCTCTTGGTCTCTTTTTCCTATCAATTAGTGTCAGGTCTGAAGTAACTTATTCCTGAGGCAAATAACTTCAAGCCTGCAATAATGATAATAAAGAAAACAAGTAACAACAAACTGCCATTTTTTCACGAGCAGTAAGGTATTCAGCATCTTAATTGGCATTCAAATACCAATATGTTTACATGAAATCCTCTTCAAGTTCCTGCAAAGACTTGCTTGTCAATGCAATTTGTTTGTTTGACGTCATCTTTTCAGAGACCATGAGACCCTTGTAGCTTCGTATCTCAGCTTGTCTCTCCTTTTCAAGCCTTTGCAGCTCCTCGTGTCGTTTCTGCCAGAGAAATCAAAGGGATTTTCGTTATAGTCACAAATAACAACGTGAAAAAGGTGCAGAGCAGTGCAGAAGATGAGATTATAGATTGAGTGATCATAGAGTCAAAATCCATGAATTGTAAATACACGGCTTCTTTGATCTCAATGCAAATATCTGAACTATTAGCAACAAAGAGAAGCTGAATACAAGTCTGAATGATCATCCCATTCAGATCATAGACCATAGTTTCCAGTCATTTAACATAATTTTATTTTCCCAGATACATATTTGGTTTAAGAAACTGGACAAGAAACAACATCCAAGTATAGTATGATGTATATAGAACTATAACACCATCAATATCTCTAATGAAAATTTATATGACATAATGGCTCCTGCCCTTCATCAATCCAGTATGCTATAACTGCTTTTACCCTAACCAAAATCCAGTAGGTTAACTTTTCTTTTTTATGCTACAACCATTTATTTAAGAAGCTCATGTTCTATAGCATCCTCGCATAAACCATCAGCTGATGTAGCCATTAGCCAATATTAACCCAATGAAATAAGTTAAAAACATATTAATAATACTAATGAAGTGGCTCACTTTTCCCTTAGCTGTTGGCTTCTCTCTGCTCTTTCTGCGGCATTAACGGCTTCTCTCTCAGCTGATCAAGAATTTATAGTTGAGAAACTAAAATAAGGCAAAACCAGCATAACTGCATGCCACTTGTCCAGCATATAATAAGCAGAATATAGAACAAAAGAAGCCGCACCAGATTTCTTTCATAAACAATGATAATCCATTTTTAGTCCCAAGTTGTAGCAGAAAACAAGACATGGACATTTGCATACCTTTCAAATCAGGTTTCCTTTCCACTTTAGTCTTATTCAACCTGTTAACAATCTCATTTATCCGCTTCTCCACTCTCACAGTCCGCACCTAAAGCACACAATAAAATCAGATAAAACACACACTAAAAGGAAACAGGTGAACAACATGAAAAAAATAATCAAGATAATAACATCATCAACGTTATTCACTTTGTTGCCTACCCTCACATAATAATATCAAACATATACAAATTATTATTAGATATATATATATACACATACATATATAAAACGAATTGATGAAATTAAAATAAACCTTGGAAGGAATTAGCTTTAACAAGCAGAGCACAATCTTCAAGCAAACTTTCGCTGATATCATCGATGGTCTGGCCTTTTTGAAGTCTTAACATGAGCAGAAGACATTTTATCCGCATGGAACCTGTAACAAAACTAAATTCAATCACCAAATTTCATGTATGATCAGAAGAGGAAAAATAACCCTAAATTTATATCATAAATGAAGGATTCCCAGGAATTTTTACTGTGACAGGAAAGATAATCGAATGAGAAATTACCAAATATCTTCGGGCAAGCCGAATTTAATGAGTTCCTCGTTCTCGTACTTCTCGAGACCCATGAAAATGGTGTAATCGCCAACCTCTGGTCGGGCTTTGAAGTAAAACACTACTTTCTTTTTTCAAAGTTTCTTCTTTTTCCCCTCTTTCCTCTCTTGGTAGGCTAAGCCAGAGAAAAATTAGGGATTTTCACCTTTAAAATGTAATTGAAAAAAAAATTGATAACCTAACATGATCGCTGCTTGAGGCTTGTGGTTTACCTCTTACTTTTTTTGGTGCGAAAACTTGGGAATGTCTCATGAAAGACGAGCTAATATAAGATTAATATATGGTGTTATCGGATACGTTAAAAGATATTTAATAAATTTAGTTTAGTGTTATCGGAAATGTTGAGTAATAATAATGTAGTAAGTCTAAGTCATGAAGAAATATTAAAAAATTTGGCAATCGGTAAACTTAGCTTGTCGGTTTATGTTGATATTTTATAAAAATGTATCGATCCACATCAATATAACAGGAAAAAATATGACAAAACCGATAAAGCGCTACCGGATATATTGCAAGTGTCGCTACTTTAATATAAGTATCGACACATAGTGAATTTAAAGGAGAAGAAGTTTTAGCGCCTATAAAGTGTCGATTCTTTATAAATATATATCGATCCACAACGATATAACATGTAAAAATATGATAAAACCAATCTGGAAAAGAGAAAACCAGTAAAGAGATACCGGATATATTGAAAGTGTCGATACTTTAATATAAGTATCGACACATTGTGAATTTAAAGGAGAAACAATTTTAGCGCCTATAAAGTGTCGATTCTTTATATAAATATATCGATCCATAACGATATAAAAGGTAAAAATATGATAAAACCGGTTTCTAAATGACAAAACCGATAAAGCGCTACCGGTATATTGAAAGTGTCGATACTTTAATAAGTATGCGTAATAAAGTATCGATACTTTCAAAGAAATAGGTAATTATACTATCGAAAGTATCGACAAATGACATAAAAGTATCGACACTTTGTAGTTGTATCAATTAAATAAAAATTACATATCCGGTGAAAATATAAAGGGCATAGTTAAATATCCTCTGAAAAATAGATAGAACAGACGAGTTTTTGAAATCGAAGCGTAATTGTTGCTGCATTTCAGAAAGCGTTTCTAAAGCGAAGTTTGTTTTTGTCGAAACCCTAGTTTTTATTATTACAGTAATCGGAAATAGGATTTTTATGTGTTGTTTGGAGTTTTTTAAGTAAAGAAGCATTTGAGACCGATTACAGGTAGAAAGTGATATTCTAGGTAAAATATAAATATCGATACTTTTATTAAATATTATAGGTAGAAAATATATTATAAGTTGTATAAATATGCCAATAATTAGAGTATTGAGTGTTCCTATTCGTTTGAAGGAAATAGGGATTAGGGTTTTTGAGTTTGGTTTGAGGATTTTGAATTGAAGCCAAGAAAGATTTTGGACTGATTATATAATATTATAGGTAGAAAATAAATATAGATATATGTATATAATATTATATGTAGAAAATGATATTTTAGGTTGTATAAATGTGTCGACATATTTTGTAGTGGCCATTCAAATTCTTTTGAAGAAAACCGTTTTACCACAAGAGTAGTTATCTATATTTGTATATTGAATAAAGTGTATGTAGCAAGTATTTGATTTGATTTGCGTAAACTGATATATGAAGGAAAAATGGAGTCAATGGGTGGAAATATTGTTGGTGGCGTAGATGACTTTGAAATTGAGGTCGAGACTCGAAAGCAACCAAAGGGTGGATATATGTATTTCTAGTAAGTATCAATTTCTTTTTGTTATTATTGTTGAAATGGTAATTGGATTAAAGTATCTAAGAACTTTAAATTGATGACAAATTTTAAATGTTGATAGTATGACCGAATGCAAAATATGAAGGAAGGTGGCGAACACATCGGTTCAGTATGTAAATTGAAATTGACATTGAGTATTATTTAGCGTTAATGTAATAATTAAAAAACGTTTATGCTTAATATTAGGTGAGAAATGATGTGTTGGAGAAATGGAATTCGATGAGTGATGCTGAGAAGGAACCTTACATCGCACAGTCAATGATGGATAGTGAAGAATACAAAGAATGGAGGGAAGCACATGAAAGAATGTATTAATTAAACTTGTAAATACGTTGATACAAAATATATAAGAACTATAACATTATATATTGTTAAAAAATGTAGGAAGTGTCGACAAGGTACAACATTAAAAGAGTGAATTCATTAATTATACACCTTAAGGAAAAGGGTCAGTTGAATGTGGTGGGAGAAATAGGGTTTGGATCGTTGGTAGGAGTAACGGATCGACCTATTCGGAGGAAATTGTGTCGATCCTTGATAGCGCAATTTGATGTCAAACAATGTATTGTTAAATATGGTGATTTTTCATTTCCTCTCGGGATCCCATGTGCTGCAGCCGTCTTGCGGGTAGAAAATGAAGACAAAAGTGTTGTAGAAGTCTCTAAGAGTAAGGACTGGAAAGCACTTGCCTCCAAATATGGTTTGAAGTAGAAGGTGACATATGTTGAACTTGAAGAGGAAATCAAAAGTGGATCTTACGGGGGGATGAACTGAAGGCCCGAGTTCTATTGTACCTTGTCGGGATCTTTCTTTGTCCAACGGGTGATAAGTCAATGAACAAGGACTATATGAAGCTCATTTGCGATGAAGGCTTGAAGGGTGAATTCAATTGGGTGAATATGTCATTCGAGATTGATTGAATCAATAATCACCTTTAAAAAGGGAAGCCAGAGATACTTCAAAGTGTGCATAGCAATCTTAGAGGTAAATAAGTTGAAGAACGTTTTTGTGTTTTATATAAAATGATATAGTTATTATATAAAATTATAAATTTTATTATAAATGCAGGTTGCACTGTTCGATTTTTGGTCGGGCTGTGAGGCAATGCCAGCTTATGAAAGAACCGGAGTGGCACATCCGTGCATGGGGGAAGGAAGAGGTGGTTAGAGTGATGGCGAAGTTGAAGTTGGATAGACCAAGGAAGCAAGAAATGGTAATAAATGTAATTAAATAATATTAAGAATATAATCAATGTCTTAATATTGCAATTTAATTTTGAAGGTTATTGGCAAGGATGTAGTGGAGGCAGAGGAGAAGGAAGAAGAGATGGTTGTATTGGGGGATGACGGTGAGGGAAAAAAGAGTAAATTCGACATTTTGATGCCTGAATTGGCTTATATAAAAAAATCAATTTGATATCATGCAAAGACAATCAGAGTCGAAGAGAAACTTGAGAGAATCGAAGAGAAACTTGAGAGAGTCGAAGAGACACTTGAGAGGCATAAGGGGGAAGTGGAAGGAAAAATAGATGGGTGGTGAAAGAAGTTAAGATGTTGAGGGTGAAGTGGTGAAAGAAGTTGAGGTGTTGAGGGGTGAACTTAAGATGGCGAGGGGTGAAAAATTGATGGAGTGGTGAAGGAGGTTGTGAAATTGAGGAGTGAACTTACGAGGGTGAAGGGGGTGGTTGATGAATACTTTGATGAGGAGGAAGGATGTCGATGTGATCTATACATCGGAGAGTGTTATAGATGCAGATTTGGATTCAGAATATCTTGCACCCCAAAAGAAGAAGCAGAAGGTAAGTTGAATAAAAGAAAACTTAATTTGATCTTTATCATGTTGTTGTGACAAAATTTTATGTAAAATTGTAGGTTGAAAAAAACGAATATTCCAAGCGGAATTGATGATATCGAAGCTGCAATTTGTGATTATTTATGGAATAGTGGGTTAGAATCGGGGTAAGTGAAATATATTGCTTTGTGAGTGATATTTAAATATTTCATGACAAGATATTAATCCTAATGATTCATACAGATATTCTGTAATCTCAATGGGAAATCAATTCGCTAATATATCTGATGTTGCAACGTTGAAGCCTACGGAATGGGTTGGCGGTGTGATAAGTAGAAAGTACAAAATGTTAAAACCTATTGAATATGTTCTGATTGTGTAATTAATTTTGTTAGGTTATTGATTTGCTCGCCTGGACAGTATGCTACGATTCGAAAAAGTCACTCCTGAGGATTGGCTACCTTCCATACCACTTAGTGGTGAGTTAAATTAATAAATGTTGAAAAGTAGTGTTATAGACGGTAAATTAATAATGATTGTCGCTTAATTGCAACAACAGGTGTTGGATGCCAACAGCAAAGTAAGTGTTGAGAGTATTGCTACCTTTTGGGGTCCCATATTGGGTAACTATGTGAAATTCACCGACTGTGAGAAGGTAAGACACCATACGAATTACAAATGATGTTTTCGGATATATAATGTTGAATTTTTTCAAATTGGGTGTGAATTTTGTTGCATATCATGATCACAATAAACTACCATAATTCACATTGGTATCTGTTTACATCTGAAGCAGCTAAACAGAGAGTGAATGATGCTAAGAGATTGGTATGTATGAAAGGACATTATGTAAATTATAATGCATATTTTGTTTGGATCATAACTTTATATTTTTTAATCCAGATGAAAATATTAGATAGTTATAATAAGAAACACAATTGGGTAGAAGAATGTGGATCTCTAGGAAAGTTCCCCTTGAAAAATTTCAAATTTGTGGATTATAAGAATAATGAGCAATTGAATGGGTATGAGATGCTATCATAAATAGAAAGCTTAATTTATGCAGGTTTCATAATTGACATGTGTGGTTTTCAAATTTTGTTACAGATATGATTGTGCCATTTATGTGATGATGTGGATGGAACCGATCGGTTCTACAGGGGCAACTGGTGAATTTGTAAATGGAATTAAAAATTCGTTTGCGGTTAAATTGTTAAAAGTCGTAGATTGAATGATGTGGTTTACAATACTTAACGTACTGAGAGTGGAATCAATTGTGAATATTAAACAATCTCATAAGCCACAATCAAAATCAACGAAGACATGAGACAACAAAAGCTACCATGAGACACAAAAATAACAAAAGTAAGCGATGATGTAAATGTAGAGTTAATTTTGTATAAGATTTATAATTTTGTATACGATTTATAATGTTGTATGTGAATGTAATTATGTATGAGATGAGAAAAGTTAGAAGTAGGTTGTTGTACATGTTTCTTATACACAGTAAGAGTCATGTTGA